CCCCGTATATGAGAAATTGTTAAGTTTTAAGTAAGGTAGCAGGTTATTAAGCAGTTGTGAAACTGTCCTGACTTCTTTATTTATGTCCTTACTTCTTGGTAAGGAATATTTCTAAGAATACATTAGCCATGTAAGTACATCTATTAAAAATACCAAGTTCTGCATCTTTTTAATAGGGAACTAGATTTTCCAAATCAGTTCTCTATATCACATAAGCCTGAATGCTTTAATTCTCAACGATACCATCACATAGGAGTGCACTGTCACTACTTATCTGTTAGTTTCTTCTGCTGTCTAGGGATCTAGCTAAACTAACTCATACAATATGCTCTATAAAATGCTGGGTGCATGTGGACAGCCGGAAGGTTCACGGATAATGAGCCTAAAGGTCCCCATGAAGGAATAGCTCTGCAGTCCCACTAGCAAATGTCAAAGGCAGAGTTCTAAATAGTCAGAATGCCAATGACCCAGTCTTCCTTACTTAAGGTAATTTCATTAACAGGCATTAAGCTCAGTCTCCTGCCTTCCCCCCTGTTGCAAAACAGTGGGTCAGAATTTCATACTCAGAACACAAAATAAAATGTAAAGGACCAAAGCACCAAACATGGGATGGGCACCACTGAACATCTGCCACCCTGTAAAACAAGCCAACTATCCAGTGTGAGAATCAGCTGTGACAGTGCTTTCCCTTCAAGCATTCTCAAATTCCCAACTCCTGATAAGTTAAAGAGAATGTTCTAAAATAAGTTAACTCTTCTTAGTTTTATAACCATTCATGTGTCTTGTGTTGTTCTCAGTGTCAGTTAACTCCTGTCTTCATACACTTCTCATTTCTGGCCCAAACACTGAGCTCTGCTTCTTCCCTTTCTCCCCTCCAGTCTCTTTAACATACCAGTGGCTCCCACATGCCAAATGTTGCAGAACATTTGAGAAATATATTGACAATCCCCTACATCCAGACAAAAACAAAGTCCTGCTGTCCAGATGAATCTCCCAAAGGAAAAGCAAAGAAGCGTTTCTCCTGCTGCTAAGGGGAAGAGCACATCATCATTGCTTCCACAAACAGGCTAGAAATTTGTCTGGAGAGCATAAAGATTATTTCCTCTACTTGCTCCTTCTAGGTACGCTGAGAACGCTCACTGTCACTGCGCTGTGCTCTCCCAGCCTCTCCTTTGGGCTCTTTTCCACATTTAGCAGCTTCAGTCTCTTTCCAAAACGGTAAAAGGATGGAAGCAACCTTGCTCGACAGTTTCACTGCTGCCCAGGGCCTTCCAGACAGCAATTCAGTACCCTGAAATCTCAAAGGACCACAGCATTACTTGAAGAAACTACTTACTGCCCTTTAGGGACTTTCAAATCTTGGATATTTTACACATCCACCTTGGTGAGAACCCTTCTAAATTAGATTGTAGAAGAACCAGCTGAAAAGGCTTTAAAAATTATGACACTGCTAATTACACTTCAAACAGACATTTTCAGTTACTCATGCCAGAGGAATCTCAGAGAAAAGGCTTATTGGAGAGGAATGTAGTAAACAAAAATCCTTCCTGAATACCTAACAAGAATGACAAATAGTGAACCAGAGAGAAAGGAAGCATCATATCCTACCAGTGTTAAGATACTTGAGATAGGGGAACATTGTATACCTTGACAGAGGCAAGGCAGTATCGATTTTTCAAATCAGAACTCAAGGTAGAATCAAAATGATGCCACCTGCCACTTGTTCAGGGAAACATCCCTGAACTTTGCATTTTATGTGCTGCAGCATCTGCCTTCACAGAGAGAAAATGTTTCAGCCTCAAAAGAAAAGAAAAACAACAAACAAAAAAACTCAAGGAGTTCCCCGAAGCTTTATCACAACAGTCGCAACACATCCCCTACCCCTATCAACTTTCACATTTCACCTAAGCTATGAGGAAATAAAGCGAACCAGAAGGAGGAGGACACTGCTTATCATGTGATTCCAGAAATATTCCCTAGAGAGTGGGCTTATTCCTGTCTCACATTAAGCAACAAAACCCTTGTCTCTCTGGACAAGCATCAGCCACAGCTCTGGCCAAGGAGGCTTAGCAGCAGAAGGCCACCCCCAAGCCATATGCTGTCCCACAGAGCCAACCTTCAGCCCTTCCCAAAGGTGACCACAGTCCTGCTGTCAGACACCTGACAGGATCCAAGAATTCCCAGCACCTGTTTCTAGCACTTAGTCCTATGCGTTTTGGGGCTTGTCACAGTCTCACAGTGCGATGGCTTTTTCCACCTGTTGCAGTTGTAAATCTATGCTTAACTTCATAGAAAGCTTTATCAGTAAGTGATGCACAAGCGCCCCAAATGCAGAAATACTGACAGAAGTCTCTCTTTACCCACTAAGAACATAACACCAACGCCAACACGCCCCTTCCCAAGTAATATTCTGGGCACAGGCCACCTCTTACCTGATTTTGTAATTGGGCAGGGTGTGCTTGCGCTTGATAACCTTCTTGAACTGATTGACAATGATGGAAGTGAGCTGAGGCATGGGCCTCCCTTCAAACTGTGACTTGACTTCGAAGACAATCAGGGGGTCATCCATGAAGGAGAAGTACCAGTGCGTGAAGGGCAGGCGGGTGAAGACCAGCTTCAGCTTGCCCATCACCCGGGACAGCTTGACAAAGAGGTAGGCCGACTTGCCAAAGACCAGGTCCGCATCAATGGCCAGATGGAAGCCGCCGTTGTACTCCAGGTCCACCTCAAAGCCCAGCTCCTCGGGACAGCCCTCCTCGCTGCTCACCACCGGCCGGATGAGCCGGACGGCCTTGAAGACGGGCAGGACGTTGCCCAGATACACGTCCCGAAGGCTCAACCCCTCCAACACCTTCCCCGTCATCTTGGTCTGCAGCAGCTCCTCGAACTCCACTTTGATCTTTTTGGTCACCCAGTTCCTCACTAAGGCCGTGTCCCGGAGCTCCCTGAAGAGGAAGAGGAAGATGGCGTTGAGGAAATGGCACGTCTCCTCGCTGGACGTAGGCTCCGGGCCGGGCTCAGGCTGCTGGGCCGGCTTGGTGCCGGGCTCCGGGCCCGCCGAAGGAGCTGAGGCGGCGGGGGCCGAGGCCGGAGCCGGCTCCGGGGCCGCCTGTCCGCCCGCGGGCTCGGTGCCACGCAGATAGTCCTTCAGGCTGCGGCCGGCCGCGACTCGGGCGTAGACGAGGCCGTCGTCGGCTCCGGTCCCCCCGGGGGGCTGCGGGGCTTTCCTATAGAGGAGCAGCAGCTGCAGCAGCAGCGTGAGGAGACAGCCGGCCAGCGCCGAGAGCAGGATGGCGTACACCGGCAACATCCTCGCCCCCCGGCGCGCCTCCCTCCCCTCACGGCCCCGCGCTTAACGGCCCGAGGCTGCCGGCTGCCGGGCCGCCGCTCCTCGCGTGCCGCCGCCTCATCCGGGTCCACCCCGCGGCGGCCCGGCGGCAGCGGCGGCGGCGGCGGCAGGGGCGTAGGGGGCGGGGTCGGCCCGCCCTCCGCGCGATGCTATTGGCGGAGAAGGGAAGGTCCCGTAGGGAGCGTCACGGTGCCGGGCGGTATGGCGTCACTGTGCGGCGTGCGCATGCGCGGGGGTGGGAGGAACGGGAATGGCAACGGGGCGTCGGGAATGGCTGCGGGGCGGGCGGCTGCTGGGGGATGGAACGGGGCTGTCGGCCAGGGGCGGTGTTCGGAGACGAGCAGCTGGCTGGTGGGTTCTGAGTGAAATCCCACTGGAGAGCTCGAGGTGCACGGAGGTGCCGGGATTCCTTAGAAGCCCCTTTGCTGATGAGAGAAGTTGGGGGCAAATCTCGAAAGGCGAAGTGTTCTCAAGCTCTGTCGGTGGTGATGAGACATGAACCTGTTTCTGTGCTCCTCAGCTCACACGTTTTTACCAACAGAGCCAGTTGAAATCGCAGACAGGAGAAGAAAATGTGAAATTTAAGTGCTGGGAGGATAAAGCCTCCCTCCCCCCTTCTTGCATAATGTCTATGGGGTGGGAGGATTGAAAAGCTCTTAATGATGCAGAGCTGTGGTTTGAAACTAGAGATTCAGTGTATGAATTTTTTATAGGTCTTGTGACTGGAAGTTGAAATGCCTGGGTGTTTAACAGAGCATTTCTATAGAAATACCAGAGAGGTCATTAGTACAGAATTGGCTCTGCTCTGTTACAGGCCTTTACCATGGCTAATACAGGCATATGCAGTAAGAAAGTTTTTGAATTTGCAACTAAATGGCTTTTCAGGAAAGGAATAATATATTCAGAGAGGCAATAGCAGCTTTAGTTTGGGGTCAGGAGGAACATCTGGTTAAAAAAAAAACAACCTTTTTCAGGTGTTTCATTGCAGCTTTTTCCTCTGTTAAACAAGCAAAAGAGAAAAATTGTCACATTTTATGCACCTGATGGCAGCTTAAAATCTGAAGCACTGAGCTCAGTAATCACTTTTATCCTTTCCCAGGAACATTTTTATCAAGAGCTGTGTAATCTTGGAGGCATATTATGAAGCAAGAATTGGATGGGTTTCAGCATTTTCAATGACAAGGACAGAATATCAGAATTAGCAGCAAATATTATTAACACGAATGGAAAAAGGGCATGCAAAAATGTTGTATAACATTAGATTGGATTGAAATGATTCGAGAGAGAAAACAAAATCATGTTATGTGACAGGGAAAAAGGGTTCATCTCCGTACCATCTGGAAAGGGTCTCAAGGCATGTATGGCTTTGGCTTCAGTTTAGAAATTACTGTTTGCATTTTCTGGAGGCCTGGATAAATAGAAAGGTGCGTGCAGTCATTCAGTTTCCACTCTGGTTACACAGCTGTATGGAATATACTCACCTGCTTGTTCTTTGCACAGCTGTAAATTATTAAATAGGATGCTGCACATGCATAAGTTAGACCTGATGTGCATGGTTGTTTTTTTGTTTTTTTTTTTTTTTTTAAATGTGAGAATTATTTGTTAAAGGGAATATTTCACCTATATGTAGGCAAGAAAAATACTAAGAAAATCCTGGGCATATTCTTTTATTCGGTAAATCAGATTGTAGGGCAATAAACATGTGAGTGTAGAGCTTTAAATTTTCAACATTTTGCAAGAGATTACAGCAGAAATAGTGGACGAGGATTGCAAAATACATAAAAGTTGGTTTTGTAGTAGAGAACAAGAAGCATAACTTCACAGTGAATTTCTCACTGCTAGGCAAAGACTGGTGACATCCTAGAAACATTTGTCTTTTTTTCTTCTCATTCATAACTGATGCAAAAATCTTTGAGTAAAGAGTTTGGAAAGATTTGTTATTTAACCCTAGACAGTGTTACCAGTTGAAAAGGCACACTTTTAATTTGACTTCATGACACCAAAAGAGAAATGCCCTTGTCACAAGCTTAGAAAAGCAATTACAGGTGGTGATTTTTCAAAAACAGTGATGTGGTCTAAATAACAAATTCATTTTCACAGCAGGAAATGCTGGGTTATTTTATAATGAGTGGTTTTAGTAAATTTCTTTGTCAATATGCTGTAATTGTTGCCTGTTTTTGTAATATCTGTTGGCAAAATTTCATTCTTTCCTGGGCCTCCTATTGTTTTTGTATTTCTTGTCTTAGAGACCAAAATTAGATGATTATTCTCACAGTATTGCATGAAACAGGATTTAGAAAGTGATTAGGTAAATTCATGAGGAGAAAAAAAATCCACTACGGTCTGTTAACTACAAAGATTGCTGGAAGTTGCACTGATGACAGATTGCTGTGGTACCTCCTTTCCTTTCAACCATCCTCAGGCTTCTACCATTGAGAGAGCACTACAGCTGATCTGGTCCAGTTCTGAAGATCTGTAAAAAGGAAAAAAGAAAAGAAATGCAGTGATTATGACTGCCTGCAGTTCTGGCTTTGAACTCTGCCAAGCACAAGGTCATCTACTTATCAGGTGATTCTACATTTTACTGGAGTAAACCTCATTAAAAACACTGAAGCTTTAAAGCGTGTCAAACTTCCTTTGATGCCATCTACACTGTCTTCTTTTCCCCCCAGTATTTATTCTGCCCTTAGAAGAAGCAGATTGCAATATAGAAAGAGCTCACCCCACCTCCCACTGCTCCCTACGAAGGCTTCTTTCCAACTGATCTGTCATCCATCTCTCTTCTGCATCAGTATTCATTTCCAGATTGCTCAGGTACAGTTCAGATGAGCAATATTCCTCTGCTCCCCACTTCACCAACTGCTAGTTATTTTTAAGGAGGATGTGAGGGATACCAGGGTTGCTTTGACTGATTGTGCCATCTTAGGTGCAACAAATAAAGCACTTGAGATGGTTATTAATAGAACCACCCTGATCCATTCTGATCAGAATGTGTCAAAACAAATGATAATGAGGGTTCAAATCCAAGATTTAGTTTGGCCCTAGCATAAAGCCAGTATTTTGACTGAAGCTCATCTTTAATTATCATCAAAAGTACTTTATACTTGTTTAATCGAGAGCTTAATGTTTTGGACGTAAAGGTGCTTTGGATACTTACTTCAAGAGGCTCATGTTAAAGCTTAGAGTATCCTGTCTCTTAATTAGGGATTCAGTTGCTATCTCGCCTGACACTGGCTTTTATTATGTCATGAAACAAGATCCTCCTCTTAGGAACTGTAGCTCTGAGATAGCTTATCCAAGATTTAAAAAGAAAAAAAAAAAGCCATTTTAAATGTAAATGTAACAAATTCAGTCTTTTTATATTACCAGTATCCAAGGCAAATGGAAGATTTCCTTTATTTCCAGCCTGCCATTGCATTTCAAGTCCAGGAACTGCTCTTTAATTCAGACGCGAGATTTGTCACATGTATGCTCCTTCATGCTGCATCTGCTTCCCTGGCTTCTGGTTTTCATGTAAATGATAGCTCTCTTAATCTTCAGAAAGTGAAAAGTTTGGGATTGTTGTTACCACATTTGTCATTTAGCGCTCACTCACTTAACTTTCCTGTACATTTTCTGAAATAGTTTTGCCATCCTTCATAAGGCAGCCTCCCCAAGGCCCTCTTGCTTGTTCCCACATCAGCTCTCTTAGAGCTGAAGATGGTTTTAGCTACTTCCCCTAATACATTTCAAGTATAATTACATGATGATCAATATGTTTTAGATGTTCCACAACCTCAGATTTTAATTTTTTTTAATGCTTGGCTCTCTTCCTGGGTTATTCCAAATCAGGCTTTGGCTGACACAAGAAGCCTCAATAAACTGCATTAAAAACAATTTCAAATTTGTGGAAGGGCTCAATGCCTGTAGAGCTGATGCACACTTTAGAGATGAACTCATCCGAGTGTGGAGCAGGTTGGCTTTACTTTCCGTTGGCAGCAAGCAAGAGAACGGCAAACAGAAACATTAATTCACAGTCTTGTTTCTGTTCCTCCCTGGTAACAGGATTTTACAACAGGCTTCCTGTACCTGTATTGATTTTTCTGGAGTCAAAGAACAAAAAGATAGAGCATGAGGACTCATGTGACCAGCCTTTAAGCAGGTAGTTTTATCACAGCGTGTTCTTGCACAAATTCAAGCATAAGGACGTGACCTGAAGATTTTCAATGAAACTAATAATTGCAAACCTAACTGTGTACACCCCAGCAACATATTTGTATTACTCTGCCCAGCTATGTAAGACAAATAGCTGCATTACTGAAATCTTCATAAGAACTATCAGTAATAGATTTATGCTGAGAAAGCACAATGCTGCTATTCCTGCCTTCATCCTGTTACAGTTTATTTAATAGTCTGGTTTCATACTATACTGTGCTGCTTCTGTTCAGAATTTGTTCAAAGCAAGGAAAATATGAGCCAAATTTGAATGCACCTACAAACATTACCTCATGTTTCATCCTGAAAATTGTCATTTAGAAGAGCAAAAGCGCCTTGTAGTTTCACAGGCATTTTGCCACTTGGAAAGCTGTGTTACGCAGCCTTACCCTTGTACATAAGCATAATTATACAAGGCATACGACTTTAGGAGAATGGGCTAAATGAACTGCCTAGAGAAGAAGATTAACAATAATAAAGAGAAATATTACTTTTAGATATTTTTTTTCCCTCTACCATTCAGATTATCTGTCAAAATAGTAGATAAAAACCCTTGGCAGTGGTGTGATTTAAACCTTTGTCCTTCACATTCAGTTCCGAACTTCTGACAGAGAAAAAAATTCAAATCATTCTTAATCAAAGGATAATTTTCCCATTTTAGGGCAGGCTCTCTTCTTGTAGCTTCAGTAATGTACCGAAGGGTGGACAATTGAGAAGGGAGAATTCAGGTCTGCAAGCTGACAGAAGGGAGGAACCTGTCTGCTGTCCTCAGTACCTCAGTAAATCAGTTATAAATTCTACCCACCAACTGCAGTTATTCCAGCAGTTTTAAAAGCACGGCTGTGAAACCACAGCTGCCTGAAGTGCTGCGTTGCACACTTCTACTTGAATTTACTTATTGAGCTGTCTGTCTAACAAATGGAAAAACTGAAGTAAATATTTTCAATATGAAATTTAAAACTTCTGTGAAATAAGCCCCAAAGAAGCTTGGCTTCCTGAATCTGCAAAAAATTTCTCATCCATACAAGGTTATTTAATCCAAGTCAATATTAAAAAATTCAGAGAGATGAAAACTGTCATATAAAAGTGAAACTGAAGTTCTTTGAGGGCTACATTTCCATCCACTGTTATTTTTACTGGAATGAGCAAAGCTTAGAATACGGTAATTTTTTTTTTTTTTTTTTTTTTTTGGCCAAGATTTTGACTTAACAGCTTTCAATCAGCAGCATTTTCTCAACAGCATTTTTATAAAGGAGTCCATGTGCATGAGCACAAGCAATGCGTTTTCTGCCTTCAATACTATGGTCTAATCAAGACAGCTCAAAGGCAAATGCAATCTTTCAAGCAGTCAATATATTTTTTTATTTGAATGTAATGTATTGAAACTACTAAGATTTAACAGAAAGCTGTAAATGCGTGCAGTGCCAACCACATGAATTATAGCCCTTGTTTTTATGACAGGATCACTATGTTTATCACCAGCATTGCTACAACCCTACACACTTCTGCTATAGGAAAGGCAAAATATCTTAAACAAGGGGTATCTGCAAAGGCAAGAAACAGTCAATAGCATACTAAAACTGCACACTTACAGTTTTTTAAGAGTTGAAAACTCAAGTACACCTCCTCTCTACCATGACCTGCATGCTTCTTCATACTGTCTCGTACAAGTGGGAGAACTGTCAGTTTCTACTAGACTGAGTGAGAAATTCTACCTATGTGGAATGTAATCAATGCACATCACGTACTATGTCTATAATAAAAGTCTCCGTAGCAACATTAAGAACAGTTATTTTTAAATGTTCCACCTTAGTCTCATGTTCATGCTTTTTTTTTTATACACAAATGTTAACTGTTTCCACTGCAGATGCTGCTGTGAGCTCATCCAGCAGAACTCCATTGTTGAGGCATGAAAAAATGATCCCTACTTCCCCCCCCCCCCCCCCCATAGATTACTGCAGGCTTTTTTCCTTTGCAGTAAGTAAATATTGTGTAACTGTTTATTGACATGCAGCTGGTCTGGAAAATTAACCTGTAAAAACTTCCTCTTCTCGCAGGAGGAGTAGGGGAATAAGAAAATACAGCAAAATTAGTGAGGAATACGTGAGCCCTCAAATGGATTTTACACAATCAATGGAAAACAAATAGAACAGCAAATAGAATAGCACAGAGGCTATGCTGGCACACTCTGCTGAGGTCTGGGGAGACAAAGGAACAGGTAAGGTGAGGAGGAGGAGGAAGAAGCTGGAAGGCACCTTCCCAAGCTCCCAGCTGCTCATGAGCACTGCAGCAGAGGAGAGGCTATGAAAACAGAGCTTGGGAAAGGAAGAAGGAACAGAAAAAACAGTTGTGTTTATCTCAGGAATCAGAAATGGCTGCTTCTGGAGGAGGAGCAGGAAGAGAGATAATATTCTTTTTCTGAGAAATGAAGCAGCGTGTTGTTGTTGTTTTTTTCCCTTGCATGCCTGTCCTTCTGACCTGTTTCCCAAGAACTTCATCCCCCGCTGAGGCAAACGTAAAGCTGATTTAAGGCTGGCATGGGTTTCCAGACCTCCTCATACCTGGCATTCTTCTTTGTTATCTAAAGCCAGTCCTGTCGTTTCCCCTGGTTTCTCACCCCTACAGAAGGGGAAGTGATTTTCAGGGAGAAATGCAGATCTTAGACAGCTGAATCAAGCAGAAAGCAGGCTAAGCTCAGAGCTGTATTTAGTGTAGTTGCTGCATTTCTGCAAAGGAGCAGAAAGTGCTACCTTTTCAGTGCTACCTTCTCAAGACACAGCCAGCAATGGCCAATAATAGGAATAATTTATACACTGCAGTACACAGGAATGACATCAGGGTAACACAAGCATATACTGCACAAATCTTGGATTTGCTAATAGTATATAAATATGTGTTTAAATAGTATGTAAATAACAACAACAAAATTCTGGACTTTGTTCATAGACTTCCAAAATGCTAATCTTTCATTAGCTTAAATGCCTAAAACAGTCTCAGTTTGTACTGAGTTGGAGGAGCAGGGAGCACAACCCAGGGAGAATGAGACCGCATTCATCTTTTACACACACTGTCAATATACACACCTCTCTGCTCAATCATTGGAGGGGCTTAGACTCAAAGGACATCAAAGAGGAAGAGACTGCTACAATGAAGCACGTATAAATTATGAGATAAGGAGTGAGACTGGTTTTGGCAAGAAGTCTTGTCAATAACAGGGTGTGAGCAAATGCCAGAACAAGTGAAAATGAGCTCTACCCCATATCTCTTTAGGAAGGACCA